AGACATGGATACACTGACACCACAGTACTAATAGTTTGTAATGTAGTCATTGATACACTGACACCACAGTGATAATTGTGTGTAATGTAGTCATGGATACACTGACACCACAGTACTGATAGTGTGTAATGTAGTCATGGATTCTCAGAAACCACATTACTGATAGTTTGTAATGTAGACATGGATACACTCACACCACAGTACTTATAGTGTGTAATGTAGTCATGGATACACAGAAACCACATTACTGATAGATTGTAATGTAGTCATGGATACACTGACACCACAGTACTAATAGGTTGTAATGTAGTCATGGATACACTGACACCACAGTACTAATAGTTTGCAATGTAGTCATGGATACACTGACACCACAGTACTAATAGTGTGTACTGTAGTCATGGATACACTGACACCACAGTACTAATAGTGTGTAATGTAGACATGGATTCACAGAAACCACATTGCTGATTGTTTGTAATCTAGTCATTGATACATTATCGCAAATAAAAAATGCTTTCATATACCACGGACCGTTTGTTTGCTTGCGTAGTTGGTGTAAATGCACCTTTTGTAGATGTCACATGCATATTCTGTAATTGTATACCGCTTATTTCAACTAATTGATATGGTATTGAATAAATATATTGTTAGTTTATATGTTTTAAATTTTATTTTTCAGAATTGGTGCAATAATCGTTTTCGATCTATCCAGGTAGGTCTCCTTTATCCGTTACGTTTTGTTTACGGATTACGTTTTGTATTGGTATTAACGACAGTTTGTCGTCTAAGAATTATTCTACCCCTATTCCGTTTATGGTGCTGTTTTGTTTACATTTTTGTATTCTCTTGTTTTTTCATTTTTTTCATTTTTTTTTCATCATTTTTTTTTCAAAAATTGTTATCTTTCTTCTTTTATTCTCTTTATTTTTTATTTTTTAACTTTTTATTATATGACAGTTGAATCGTTTTTCACTGAAAATGCAAGTATTGTATTAATTCCCTGGATGTGTAGAGATCATTATTCAATGTCAAATCTGTTTTAACTACTTTGGCTAGAACGCCATAGAAACCCATTACTTATAACAAGTACACATACATATATCTGTTTTTTGTTACCATTGTTGGCAGTTGTAAATCAATTAGATTTATTACTACGTAAAATATTTGTTTGTTGACCTAAACGAGGTTTGCGTACATATTGGTTTTGATCCGTCTATGTTCTTCTGTCTTCCGCTTATGCCGCTATTTCGTTTGGAAGAAATCTTAGGGAAAATTAAGCAGAACTTAAATAATTGAACAAACATCAAATATGGCAAACATTTCTCTGATTGACTGAGACGTATCGGGATATAGTTTCGTCATACTTTGTGGATGGTTAAAACAGTTGTTGAAAGGGATGATGAAGCCAAGCCCTGTAATTGTAATGAACGATATCAACACGTTCGCAAGGTGGTTGAAATGGACAGTCTGGTAAAGTCAATTTAAACTTGTTGGAACATATCAACATCAGTATTTATGGGCAGAAATAAAATATTTTTATTTATAGAACATCAAACGTGACCGGCACTGCCTCTGATTGGCTGTGGCATGTCGTGGGTGTTTTGTTTCATGTGACGGATTATAATGAAAGTTATTTATTGAAAGGGATGTCTTTTTTATACTCTCTGGCCTCTGATTAGCTGATCCAATTACTGATTTAACACTGGGAGAACGTTAAATAGGAATTAAACCTTTCGTTGAAAGACCTACGTTTATATTTTGAGATTAAAGATATCCTCCGTGGTCTCTGAAAAGTTGAGACAGTTACGGCCTTTATCCCGATTCTTTTGGACCGACTTTGTGCATATGTCATTAGCGTAAAGCATTATGGGAGCGTTTAGGGAGTATTTGTGAATATTTTTGTTTTAATTAGGCGTCTTATATTTTCTAACTCGCTAAAATGAAGTTTACTTTCACAACATTTGTGCTTATTGTATTACAGAATCGTCCACGAAGAACAATGTATAAGGTTGACTCCTACTAGTTGCATTAGCTGCAATTTTACTTTAATTTACTTTTTGGTACACACCTTGTAATTTAAGTTGGATGCTCATTCATTTATCTGATTTCGTTTTTCACAGACCTGCTACGTTTGATTCGGTGCTTAAGGTAAGAATATTTTCTGGAATCGAAAATGCAGCATGATTAATAATATTTAAACCTGCACTTTGAGTACATTATTGATTTGTGCTTGAAAGAACATGGAACCATAACGCTTTTTTGTCATATCATCCTAAATTCATTTCATTGCTTAAAAAGCACAGAATTAAACCAAACTTAAATGCCATATCCACCAAATTACCATAAAAACCATCTTTAAACTCTGCTGACACCCATGAAACTTTATTTTAAGGTTGTCAGCATTGTTTATTTCTTTATGGTTACCGATCAGACAAGGGGGACCCTAGTGAACAAAACTCTGGATGAGGTGTTGGGATATGAGTCTCGTGTACTACAACGTGTTGTCATTGAGTTATATTGCTGAGACGTTAAGCGCGTACAGAAAGGTTATATTAGCCCGGCCCGGCGATACTTCTTGGTGTGACAAAGAATGAAACGTTCATTCATTTTGGAACTAGTTCCTGGTGAGGAGAACTTTTCAAATGCGATATGTTACAGGGAGCTCATTAGTCGTGGTTTAAAGCCTCATACCCCTTTCGTTTTCTGTCTCCCATGTTCTATAAATACAACACATCGGGGTTCGTACGCGCTTATTTTACATATATTTTGATTGACCCTAAATGACTCGAATTGGTGATCTCTCATAAAATAATACAAAACAAAGCATCATTTATGACGACCACTAGTATATAATGTTAACTGTTAGGTCACCTGACCATGGTCATGGTAACACATTGCCATCCGTCTTCGTCTGTCGTGCGTCGTCTGTCGTGCGTTAACTTTTATCTCGGACGAGTTCAAAAGTGTTTCCGATCAGACAGTAACTGGCAGAGTGATGGGACATTGAAATTTAATTACACCCATTGGAGCCCAAGGAACTTAAGCTTGTGAACACAATAACTTGAGTAAATGTGAACGGATTTTGATAATTCTGCTCTGCTGCTTTATATCAATAAGATTGCAGACAGGTTCGTAAATAGGCCCGATTAGCGATATAATAATTTTCAGAGTTACTGCCAATTGGAGAATACAAGATGGCCGATCCTGGCCTCGGATTTACTGAGAGAAGATACTTTCGACTTCTCAAGACTATCTGTAGCAATTCACTTCTTTATGTGTACAAATGTTCTTTAAGAGGTTCCGAACAAGTGTTCTTACTTTTTTTGCCGATCAGAAAATCCAAGATGGTCACCCTGACCTCTCATTGACTGAGATGTTTATGACTACTACTCAAGAAAGGCTACATCGATTGACTTCTAACTTAGTAGAAGTATTCCTTATGAAGTTTCGACCAAGTTTGAAACTTTTCATGCTGATTATAAAATTCTGGATGGCTACCCTGGCCTGTGATTGGCCAGTGATTGGCTACAACTTCACCTGTATATAATCCATTAAACGTATCATCTAATTCATCTTATACACCATGTGTATAACTGGTCTCCAGGTTAGTATTGGTGTATGCCCTCTCTCCAAAGTAACTTTGTGCCAATTTTAAAACAAGGACCATGCTACAATTTGAGTACTTCAGAGTTTACTCAGGTGACCTTTTAGGCCCAAGGGCCTCCTGTTCTATTTTACGTCTTTCAAGTTTGCATGATTTTTTTTTTTTAAATTTCATATTAAGAACTGTATTTGATAAAATTGTTTTACAGTGGCTAAATGACGTAAATTCTAAAGTGATGTTAGCCAATGAACAACCAGTGCCCGTCCTGCTGCTTGCCAATAAGGTAGGTAAAAGGTCAAACTTGCAGATTTGTGTCAAAGAAGTCTTCTTCTACTCAGCAGATTTTCTTCTCGGTATATGAAATCATATGCTTCGTGACCATGACCTTGTTTGTCCGTAGAGTTATTATGCAATCATACATTACCCTCAATAACCTAAAGGATATCTGGAATCAGCTTGTACATCTGTTTAACTGTCCATATGGGAATTTTACATAAAGCGTTCCGTCTACAGAAACATGCTAGTTACAGTGTAATATAATTCGTCATTTTGAATCTCTATCAGGAAAACTGTTCAACTAATAATTCAGTTTTGGATGAAACAAAATTGACAAAATTGGTCTATTTTCAGTTTCTATGCAAATAAGAACCGACTACCATTTTACGGGACATGTATGTTATATTGTTCTGGTTACGAAATAAAGCTGTGGAGCTCGAAGAATGGTCACAACTTTATGACAAGGTGTTATCATACTTGTCACACATGTCTCATACATATGTACATGGCAATTGACATTTGAATCAATTTTGTTAGAGAGCAGGTTAATAAATAATTGTAAAGTAACTTTTTGAATCTGTTCATTTTACAGACTCTTAACGTTGTTAATATTGTTATACATTGCCTTTCGTTTATAAATTTGAAGAGGACTAATAACATGGGAAGTTCCTTATGAATTATTTTATTGAGTGGATGTTAAAAATTATTTTCTTGGACTGTTTAGAGATGATGTGGCATGCGCATCATCATGTCATTACCAAGTACAGTATACACGAACAATGTTCACATAATCAACTGTACCGATCAATAGAACACTTAATCATAAAAAGTCTCGTCTGTTTAGTTAACAATAGAATGACCGATGTGGTCTTTGCGTTGCAGTGTGACATAGAAGGCGCTGAACCTGACACAAGCAAAATTGACAAGTTCTGTAAAGAGCATCAGTTTATTGGCTGGTTTCCTACCTCCGCTAAGAGTGATACCAACGTCAGTAAGTAGTAATATCAACATCAGTTTGTAGTGATACCAACGTCAGTAAGTAGTGATACCAACGTCAGTAAAACGTGATACATGTACCAACGTTAGTAAGTAGTGATACCAACGTTAGTAAGTAATGATACCAACATCAGTAAGAAATGATACCAACATCAGTAAGGAGTGATACCAAAATCAGTAAGTAGTGATACCAACGTCAGTAAGTAATGATACCGACGTCAGTAAGTAGTGATACCAATGTCAGTAAGTAGTGATACCAACGTTAGTAAGTAGTAATACCAACGTCAGTAATTAGTGATACCAACGTCAGTAAGTAGTGATATCAACGTCAGTAAGTTATGATATCAACGTCAGTAAGTAGTGATGCTAACATCAGTTTGTAGTGATACCAACTTTAGTAAGTAGTGATACCAACATCAGTAAGTAGTGATACCAACGTCAGTAAGTAATGATACCGACGTCAGTAAGTAGTGATACCAATGTCAGTAAGTAGTGATACCAACGTTAGTAAGTAGTGATACCAACATCAGTAAGTAGGCATACCAACATCAGTAAGTAATTATACTAACGTCAGTAAGTAGTGATAGCAACGTTAGTAAGTAGTGATACCAACGTCAGTAAGTAGTGATACGAACGTTAGTAAAAAGTGATACATGTACCAACGTTAGTAAGTAGTGATACCAACGTCAGTAAGTAGTGATACCAACGTCAGTAAGTAGTGATACCAACGTTAGTAAGTAGTGATACCAACGTCAGTAAGTAGTGATACCAACGTCAGTAAAAAGTGATACATGTACCAACGTTAGTAAGTAGTGATACCAACGTTAGTAAGTAATGATACCAACATCAGTAAGTAATGATACCAACGTCAGTAAGTAGTGATACAGTACCAACGTCAGTAAGTAGTGATACCGACGTCAGTAAGTAGTGATACCAATGTCAGTAAGTAGTGATACCAACGTCAGTAAAAAGTGATACATGTACCAACGTTAGTAAGTAGTGATACCAACGTTAGTAAGTAATGATACCAACATCAGTAAGTAATGATACCAACGTCAGTAAGTAGTGATACAGTACCAACGTCAGTAAGTAGTGATACCGACGTCAGTAAGTAGTGATACCAATGTCAGTAAGTAGTGATACCAACGTTAGTAAGTAGTGATACCAACGTCAGTAATTAGTGATACCAACGTCAGTAAGTAGTGATATCAACGTCAGTAAGTAGTGATATCAACGTCAGTAAGTAGTGATACTAACATCAGTTTGTAGTGATACCAACGTTAGTAAGTAGACATACCAACATCAGTAAGTAGTGATACCAACATCAGTAAGTAGTGATAGCAACATCAGTAAGTAGTGATACCAACATCAGTAAGAAGTGATACCAACATCAGTAAGGAGTGATATCAATGTCAGTAAGTAGTGATACCAACGTTAGTAATTAATGATACCAACGTCAGTAAGTAGTGATATCAACGTCAGTAAGTAGTGATACTAACATCAGTTTGTAGTGATACCAACGTTAGTAAGTAGTGATACCAACGTCAGTAAGTAGTGATATCAACATCAGTAAGTAGTGATACTAACATCAGTAAGGAGTGATATCAACATCAGTAAGAAGTGATACCAACATCAGTAAGTAGTGATACCAACATCAGTAAGTAGCGATACCAACATCATTAAGTAGTGATACCAACATCATTAAGTAGTGATACCAACATCATTAAGTAGTGATACCAACATCAGTAAGTAGTGATACCAACAATAGTACAACATTGATCAATAGCATATTTGGAAATAGTGTACAAATGTTTGGAAAAAAAGCTTCATTCACCGTGTTCACTTAAGGCACTGCAAGTACAGATGTTTACTTCAGGCACTGTAAGATGGAATGTTTTCTTAAGGCGCCGTAAGTACGAACGTTTACTTACGGCGCTGTCAGTACGAATGCAACAATGAATAATCAAAAGTCTTCCCGAATATCGACAAAGGATGCATTCTATCAAGGGGATAGTAAACAAACATGTTCTTATCCTCATTAGGGCCCCGTATCAGAGATACGGGTGCCCTATAGTAATCACTATGTCTGTCTGTCTGTCTGTCCGTCCACAAATTTTGTTCCTGGCTGATAACTTTGATATTTATTGACCGATGTACATGAAACTTGGTCAAGATATTCAGTTCATAAAAATACACATTAAGGTAAGAAGTCAAGGTCAAAGGTCAAGGTCTTTAGGTTCAAAGGTCAAGGTCAAATTATACATCTTTTCACTGATGAACATTTTGTTATGATATTATGAAGCAAAGTTGATCAGAAGTAAACAAGGAGTCAACTAACAAAAGGTCAAGGTCATCAGATCAGGGGTCAAGGTCAATTTTTTTAGCTTTTCACTGATGAACATTTCTTTATGACATTATGAAGCAAAGTTGATCAGAATTGAACAAGGAGTCAACTGACCAAAGGTCAAGGTCATTTGGTCAAAGGTCAAGGTTAAATTCTGTATCTTTTCACTGTTGAACATTTCGCTATGACACTTTGAAGCAATATTGCTCGGAATTAAACAAGGTGTAAATTGAACGAAGGTCAAGGTCACTTGGTCAAAGATCAAGGTTAAATTTTGTACCTTTTCCCTGATGAACATTTTGTTATGACATTATGAAGCAATGCTGTTCAGAACTTAACACAGAGTCAACTGACCTTAGTTGCATGTTACTGGGTCCAAAGGGTCAAGGTCAAGTTTTGTATTTTTCACTGATGAACATTTTGTTATGATATTAAGAAGCAGAGTTGGTCGGAATTAAAGAATAAGTCAACTGACAAAAGATAAGGGTTACTGGGTTAATGGTCAAGGTCATTTGGGTCCAAAGGTCAAAGACAAAGTGGATCTTTGACTTTAACCCTGGCTCTTGATGGAGGAGGTATATAAGGTGAAATAAAACAAATCAAAGCTAACAAATGAGTATTGCACCGGTTATTACATTTCTGTTAGCCCAGCAAATATGGAGGTGAAAGGAAACACATCACATCAAAGTACATGTAAAATGTATATTTTGCTTCCTTGCGATTCTTTTTGAAGTCCAAATGTCAAGCGTCAAGCTCAGCTATATGGGCAGATTGCTTCTTGATGATTATGGGGGATATAATTGCCACAAGACGGGGCCCTTACTGACCTGTCAGTGTTTTAGTTTTAACACACTTTATTTAATGCTACATTCAATTATAAAAAAAATATTATAGCTTATTAAGTTACTCTCTGAATTTGTTATCACATTCCCCTGGCATGTCACTCAAAAGCTAATGAGGAAGACAGTTTCAAAAGTCGATAATTGGGTACACCCATTCTATGTCGTTCTCGATCTGTTTGATGACGAGATAAAAAAAAATCGGATAATTCCTCAATGGCCAGTTATCAACGGTTTTTATGCCCCCAACATACAGGGGGGGGGGGCATATAGGGTTACCTATGTCTGTCCCGTCCCGTCGCGTCCCTTCCCGATTTAATGTTAACACGTAGCAACTTCATTATTTGACAGATTTTGGTCAACCTTTATACAAAGGTACAACCCTCCATAAAATAGAGGGGGTATGGGGGGGGGGGGCATATAGTGTTTTCCATGTCCGTCCAGTCGCGTCGCGTCACGTCCCGTCCCGTCCCTTCCCGATTCAATGTAAACACTTAGCAGCTTCATTCTTTGACAGATTTTGGTCAAACTTTATATAAAGGTCAAATATCGGTATTTTTCGGACATCCTTGTGTTTCAGGGTTCCAAGGTCAAGGCCAAGATCACTGTTGCTATATATAGAAAATCATCTTCTTATTCAATTTAAACATTTAGCAAATTTTTTCACGGATGTTTGTCAAACTTTATATAAAGGTCAAATATGGGTATACCTCTGACATCCTTGTGTTTCAGGGTTCCAAGGTCAAGGCCAAGGTCACTGTTGCTATATATAGAAAATCATCAACTGATTCAATTTAAACACTTAGCAACTTCATTTTTTCACGGATTTTGGTCAAACTTTATATAAAGGTTAAATATGGGTATACCTCTGACATCCTTGTGTTTTAGGGTTCAAAGGTCAAGGCCAAGGTCACTGTTGCTATATATAGAAAATCATCAACTGATTCAATTTAAACACTTAGCAACTTCATTCTTTCATGGATTTTGGTCAAACTTATACAAAGGTCAATTATGAGCATACTTCGGACATTGTTGTGTTTCAGGGTACTAAGGTCAAGGCCAAGGTCACTGTTGCTATATATATCAACTTTAAGTGTAGTAACTTTTGTGCGTGCACGTTTCAGGGTATCAAGATAAAAGTGGTTGTTACTTAGAAAACTGAAACTAATTTCACATGGCAGCGGGGGCATTTATGTCTGACAGACATCTTCTAGTCTACTTAAAATTCGAAGTAAGATTGGCCATATTCTTATGAGTCCATGTCAGTATACATTACAAGCAGAGCATGTCGACATCGCCTATTGTTTTCTGTGAAGAAATGTTTTAATGTGTGGGACTCTTGCAATACTACGAATTTGGGATACTTTATTGTGGTTAAGAACTTAGCATCAGACTGATCGGATTTAAGTTTCAATAAAAAGTCAAGATACTTGAAACGAATATTTACCATTCATCCATTCAATAGATAAAGCCAATATTTCATAACATTTTGTCTATTATTAAGATTGTATAATTCTTATTTTCTGTCGGTACTAGAAGATGTATATTGCATATTCTCTGTTCCAAGGTTAGGTGGCATAATTATAGAGATTTTATCAACGTGCGAGTGATGAGAAAAATATTCGAACGACAAACCCTGAATACATCGTGTGATAAACTGTTTATCATCTATTTACTATTACCTTATATATTTCTCCATTCATAAAAAGTCAACTAAACACTGTATTTCCAAATGACTTTTAGATTCAATGGTCATCGATCTCAAAACCTCGGTCTGTGACAAACGTAAAACAATAGAAGATTTACGTGGAGGAATACAATAAACCTTAAAACTATGTGGAAAAATACTTTTAAAACAATCTTATCGTCATTGGCTTTTCCATATGCACATTAACGGTTTAAAATTGTGTTGTTATTCTCACAAGATTGTTTAGTAACTTTATATTGGTTTGTTTATGAGGGACTATTTCTTACGCGAATCACTGTTGTTTGGATATTATTTCTGGTTTAGGACGTCACTTGGCGCAAGCAGGCGTTCTTTTTTTTTTAGAAAAGACGTTCCGAAATGCCGGGAAATGGGAAAATCCATTCAGTATTCTCATACTGACAACCCGTGTTAATGAATGCATCATGCTACCGGAAGGTGGTATAGAGTAGTATATATAGATGCTAATGCATATTCTCTGTCCCTAGGCGAGGCAGTGAGGTTCCTTGTCAAACATATCCTGGAGCTACCAAGCGAGAGTCAGCAGCCTACCGAACACATCAGTTTGGCCACAGAAAACAACACCTCGCATTACGATGACTCGTTCGAGACGGAGGAGGGCTACAACAAAAGGAACAACAAGCAGAGTGGATGCTGTAGTTGATAAAAACTTTTATTAGAATGTGGAATTGGGAACTAACTGTCTTTTCCTAAACAGCAGTATTTGTGTGAGATAACCATCAATATTATAAGATTCGATTCGGTTTTTTAAAGTATTAATGCTGAGTTCTGTGAAATCATGTACTTTTGTGGGGCAAACTTTCGTGGTTTCCCGACAAAACACCATTTCGTGGGTACATGATCGTGAATTACGTGTACTTACTCAAACGTATAAATGTTTTATATCAAACTTGTAATTACTTCGTGGACCCATGAGTTTTTGGACGACAATAACCCATAAAATCATCGAATAAAAATAAAACCCATGAAAAAAAGTGATTGTAAAGTAAGTAATTACAGATATTTCAATATAAACAGTGAATTTGATTCCATGAACTGTGATATACCTAACGTGGGTTGTATTTTATACAATAACTGTACCACCGTAAACTTATATATACTGTTGTAAATGAACTGTGTTGATCTCGTCTGAATTATTATTATGCTATTGTTACTGATTCATATACGTAATCACGTCATGGGGCGTTTTCGTACGTATGGAAAATTCCCTGCCCCAGTAATAATTTTTTGTTTCTTTTCTGTCATAAAACTTCAGCCTCAAGCTCTAGTCTACATTTTATATTCAAGCAATAATGCACTGAACTTATAACGAAAAGTTTCTCATTCATGTAGATCAATTAATTTTATAAAGTGGTTCATTGTATGTTATGCCCGTATCACACATAATACGGACATTTCGTGCATGGAGTGGCACCTTTACAAGTTGTTGAGGAAGCCACTATAGCTATTCGTGTTAGGTTAGATACAAATTGTTGTGAACTGAAGAGCTGAGTTGAGATAATTGACATTTTCTTCCCTTTTAAGCTTTGCATATTAAACATCATTTAACTAACTTCATAAACTATCTAATAATCGCCAATTTGACCAAAATAGTGTGCATGGATAAATTTCATTATATATATACAGGTATATTTATGTTGTCAGGCGATCGACACATTTTGTAAAAGACTAAATACTCACTGGCTGTCCGTATTTGACTTTTTTGTTTTTATTCAACTAGATTATTCAGCTTTATCAATTAATTATCCTTTATTTATTGCAGTGGCTGTGAACACAAGTTTACTTGTGTAAATGTCAATATAGTTTTATAAATCTAAATATAATTAAGTGATTTGTAAATATTTTTAATGAGTTTATGTATAAATGTATAAAGCCTAATGTTACATTTAAAGTATCATGGTTTGATGAATCAATTTGTTTATAATGAAACTTTTGCTTTCATTTGAAGATCGTACTCGGGGCACAAATCTATTTTTATTAACAGAAGAAATCCGTGCTGTTATTTTTGTACTGATTTTGTTGCGAATGCAAGGGAACCTATAGTGTGGACATTTTGCATATGAAATGTGACTAGTTTTATCAATAATAGTATTGTGTGTTGTTTAATGTATAATTGACCGCCAGAGTATTATTTGTATACGGCTGTTATTTTTATAGAGGTTCATCAATGAGCTATGGTTGTTATCGAATTGACTCTCTGACGTTGATTAATTTCCATTTTTTTTAAATGAACATTAGTGAGTGAATTTAATGATAACCAACGTTAATTAGTCAAAACATTTGTTTGTCCCATATTTTTCTTTTTTAATCATATCATGTTTGTTTGGATTTTATAAGTGATCTGTCAGTCGTACCCTTTCGACTGTTCAGAGCTGTAATGCAATTTCATTAATCTGATAAATATAGAAAACTGTTCAATTTCTTTATCATACCATATTTTATTTCACAATCAATCCATTTTTATCACTAACAATTACGACAATAAAATGAATAACAATTTATTAAAGCGTCCTTTGCGAGAAACTACTTAATTGCCCGTAGTTACATGAGAGTAGTTCACTCACTGACACAAAACCTTAACAGATCGGAGAAGTGACCTAGAGGAGACTCCATTGCTGTCGACTGCAATGTGATATCTCCCGCTCAACTAACGTAACGCTTTAAGTGTTTTTCAGGATTTGGTCCGTTACTACTATACAGGCTTAGTGAAAGTTACCCACCGCTATGTGTAAACATTCGTGTTAGCACCCTGCTACTGTATATCAGTTAAGTAACACGTTATTAGTGGATAAAAATATATTGTTTGCTTTCTCCAGACACATGACAGAGGAATTCGCTGATAATTCGTAAATGCAACGAAAGAGAAATTTTGTAAATGAAACAAAATCATCATGGTTGAATTAAATGTGTTACTGATATTCCTACTCAGGTCGGGGGCTAGGGCAAAGTCTTCCTTAGGGAAGTGTGTGGGTGCTACTTATATCTTTTCTGTTACGATAATCATCTTAACCATGTTAAACTTTGTTCAAGCTGCTGCATGATGAAGTATGGAAATCAGACAATAAAATTCGTTCTAAATAATTGTCTGTATGACTTGTTTTATTGCTCTTGTTTAACTTTTTAATGTGCTATATCAGGATACATTCAGATTTCCTAACAACGATTTGAATGCTGTAGTTTTCTGAATTATCTAGTTTTAAATACAGAAAATATAAGGGGTTCGTTCACATCTCAAAAAGTGGGACGTGTAGGTATTCATTATGTATGTTTACAATATGCATTTCAATTCACACATATACAATGGAGGTATACATATGCAGATTTAAAGGTTGTGAACATGTACCAATTTCGTGCAAGTGTTGACATTTACAGCCCAAGAGATATTTAACATTTCAAAATACTTCTAACATTTGAGTTCGTTTTTTGAAACTTCTACATTGTCAGTCGTTATATATTAAGCCTATATTTACAAGGTCTTTGTTGCTTAACATATCCTGCTTATCCGTAAAAGTTTTGTTACCAAAAGGTGGATGTTTTTGTCGCTAATTATGTATTCACTTAATGAACGAAAATATGCTTGCACGAACATTAAGACACAGTAGAAAATGCATAAATTTATAGCGTTATAATTTAAGCGAACATTTTCACACTGCAATCTGTGGAAGTCAAACTGCGGAAATGTCTATACTGAACTACAAAATACTTGGTACGACATATCCATGTTTAATACAATGTTGATGGTGTAACACTAGCTGGCAAGACGAATTGGCACTGAATTATAAAACAAACAGCCTCTGGTTCACAGATATTGTACTTTACATCAAGAAGGAAACACGGGCGAATGGTTCATCATCGGGGTCTGAAATGCAGCTCGGGAAAATGGTAATGGCGAGGGTGCACGAGGACGCAGTCTGAATGGGGACGGGATTCGGGAGCTTAGTGGTGGGTGCATCAGAGGTGATGGGCTGTGTCCTGTCATCGGTGTCACGTGGACAGTTGAAATAGGTGAAGATTGCAGCGCTATGGTGATGGACAATGTCGCTCCTAGAAGAATGGTGACTGCTGCTCCGCAAGCGACATAAAAGGACCAAGCAAGGTTAACATCAGTACCGACTGTCCATCGTGGAATCTTTTGATAGTGGATAGATTCATATGAAGCTGCGTATAGACATACAGCAATGGCCACCAACACATCTAGAACAACAATAAAACCATCATTGAAGCAGTTTGAGGCATGTCAGTTATCAAACACTTGTCTTTAAGGATTTGCAAACTCGACTGGTATTACAATAGTTTTTCGTGTACTAATTTTATTAATTGATTATTTCTTTGCTGACGATATCATAAAAATTCCCCAGTATTTTAAATACATATCACATCCTATTTCCCTTAATGGTTTATGTACGTGCATATCTACCGAACGACAGAATACCATGACCTCTTTACCGCCATTCATTATACCGTTTGGTCAATATTCTTTTGTAGACAAATAAGGACAATTTTCAAACTTCTGAGTAACATGATCCATAGCCATACGCTTTATTATATCCATGTGTACTGTTTTGTAGAGAAACTAAATCTGCTGTTTTGTACCTGATAAAACAGCCATGATGCCCGCTTTCTTTGTCCATTTGAATGCACGCTTTTTCTTCTGGAAAATAGCAGCCACACCCATAGTACAGCAACAAAGTCAAATATGGCGCCACTCACACACAAAGAACTTGTGATGAATATTATAACTGCAAAATAGAGGAGATGGTTTGAAAAGAAACATTTGTATATCCAGTACAATGTGTGCATGCCCTAAACAGTTTTCTTCTAAACTATTTAAATTATATTTGAATCAATGTCCGTTAATATACATTATTATATGATTGTTGCTAATTCCCAGCCCTGATTGGACGTCATGTGACGAGACGGTAAATATGTTACAGACCTCGTTCTATGAATAGAAAAGTGTTATGGACCTCGACCTATAAATAGAAAAGTGTTACAGACCGCGACCTATAAATAGAAAAGTGTTACAGACCGCTACTAAAAATAGACCTGGGTAATTTCCCAGACATCGATTAACAGCCAATTGCAATCAAATCATCTGTTCCAGACCTCGTTCTTTGAAAAGGAAAGTGTTACAGACCTCGACCTATACATAGGAAAGTGTTACAGACTTCGACCTACAAATAGAAAAGTGTTGCAGACCGCTACTAAAAAAAGGTCTAGGTAATTTCTAAGCCAGTCTGTAATTCTGTTACCAATCACACTACTGAATTCAACTACAAATGAATTATCTCATCAAATTCTGAGCTATGTGAATATTGATGATGTCGGTTGCGCAAACAATATTTACTTGAAATTAAATATCACATGAATTGAATCTGAAATTCAATTTTTGTGTATGCTATTTTGCATTTGCAGCCCTTCGCTCTGTGATTCCAAAATAGTCCATGCCATCCATAATCTCATTGTAAAATGTCATATAATAAAACAATTGTGGACTTCAGTTTCGGTCTATCGGCCTCTGTGAATATTGTTCAGACAAGGTCCGTAAATCAGGGATAGACCGAAACTGAAGTCCACAATTGTATATTGGAAGTTGTTACTGAACACGTTTGATGAGCTGACGAATCTTGCTGTGAATAAGGAACAGTTCTGTACTCTTCTACATGACACGATACGATGCTAATGAATAAAAAACGGCATATCATTAACAAGGAAGTATGTAGTCCAAACCATTGTTTGAGGTACCTTAAGTACGAGTAAACCTGTAAACAACAATATCAAAGTGATCAAACGTTTTAAAACAGTTAATGTAAAATGTTTGCTGTGCTCCTAAGTCGTAAGACACTTATTGTTATGCGAAATAAAAGGTTTGACAAAGTTTTGTTCCTCTATCAGGACATCGCCATGTAGAGAACAATAACATTGTTGTGATTACTACCAACACGTATCCTAAATGTACAGTTAGGTCAAGCTGTAATACGGCTACCTTTGTTGTATTGGAACATGCTGATAAAACTATCAGGGCATCATGCTTTATGGTGTTTTAGATTGAATGCACTCGAGGCCATAGAGTATCGTGTGGTTTATAGGGACCACGGAACCAAATCAAAAATAGACTGTGGGTCTTCCCCTTTTGGGCAGAAGATTCAATAGGAAGGTGAATGCCTCGGGGCCTGCTGGTTGGATATTTAGGTGGCAGAAGTTTCAAACGTTTTATGTGTGGGTTAAGCAATATATATAGATGTAATATGCATATTTTTTTTTTCCAAGTCTGTTTTGTGTCTGGGTGAGTTTATTAAGTGTGTAATTTGTTGCAAATTTTGGTCGATTTTTGGTGCCGATTTCAATACAAGATGGCGGCCCCCATATACAAAAAGTTCATATTGGCAGAATTTTTAAATATTTTATTTACAGTTGTGTGAGATGATATTCTTCAAAATGAGGGCAGGTAAACCAGTGTGGATATCCCCATTTAACCAGGACAGTGGTAAACGTTAACACAATCGTCTATGGAAAATAATTTGGTTCTGCGGTCCCTGTACACGACTCGGTTGTAAAATTGTACACTACAACAATAACGAATCAAATCAACAAACACGCATATCATTGTGCATTACCGCTAAAAGAGAGAATTTATCAGTTTACATTAAGCACATCTTAGTGTATGTTTTGATGTTCGTGAAATAATTCATGGAACATAACAATGATCTCGTTATAGAGATGGACTCGTTAAGATTACGACCATAGTAATTCAAACATCATATATGATTCCTTGATTATGCTAGATACACTTGAATGCAACATATTAATTTTTTGGTGAATATTTTTTTACCACATACACATTATATATTGGAATAAAAATAAAATAAAAGTATAATAAAAGATAACCTGTGTCCGAGCATGGACCAGTTCTATGAATTTGAAGTAATATATCATATTCTTCAAAGACCGTGTATGTTTCTTACTATGGACTAGTCAATTGGAATTGTTACTGATACAACCACACAGACTCTTGTAATGGCCTTTTTAGTATTATTTGATATTACCCTGCTTCCACATCTGTTATACGCACTATCAGAAGCACTCTTACGCTCTAAACTATAGATGTAATTGACTTAAACGGTCTGTTAATTGTATAAATTTTAACTTACAATGTAATTATAAAGAGCACACTCACGGGTGCATTGTGACAAGTCTAATATGGATTATTGTTACAAACGTATGTTCAGTCTAAAAAGCTAAAATATGTGAAAATACGTGGAAACGTATCGATTTTTCTATGGTCATTTCGGTAATTAGAGTAAAATTTGTATGAAATGCAGAAAGAAATGTAATGTACATTATGGGAGAATTACTCGCTCACAATTTCAAAAAGTACATAGGTGGATAAAACAGTTAACATAAATCATTTTAAAACACCTATTCTACAAAGTAAAATACTTAACCATATACATGTACCATAAAATAACTGTTCCGTGACCTGATCGGTCTAAAAACGGTAAAATAATCTATATACACTCAAACAATAGGTAACGTTGCGTTATTGTTGTTACAATGATAACGGACTGTCGTCATATCACTTCATAGATGTTAATGTTACTAACCGACTGTTAACTAATAACTTTTTTGTTGTTTAGAGTACTAGCGGACTATAGGAGTATAATTTTATAGTTGTTCAAACATTAACCCGCTGTTAACATATAAACAGTACTGAAGAACTTTTGTTAACTTATAGGTTCATTGTTATTGTCAGGACTAACACACTGTTAAATGTTATTTTATTGGTAGTATACAATACCAAAGGACTGTTTATTTATGACTTCATTGTTAGTGTCAGGACTAACCCACTGTTAACATATCATGTTTTGTTGTTTAAAGGGCTAATTAACTCATTAAGTTTTAAAGAACCCAATACAAAAACATACACAAAAATATATAAATAAAATGTAAAAAAAATCGTTTGTATGAGAAAAAGATCAAAGTATCTGGTTTAACTGATATGAGTTTTTAGAACGACAACGAAATATGTCATCCTTTTCCAGGAAATAAAAATAGGATCAGAAGTTATTTATATTGGTATTCATTTATAACCTAGTTTAATGAGAGTTATGAGACACTGTATATTTGTAAAACATTTTAACACAATGTTTCACCTTGTGGCTTATTGTATATATGTTATTATAATGCAGAATAGCACAATTGATGATAG